GCTCTAAATTAAGTCCACTCTCAAGGGGACGAGACGAGGTACACAACGACAACGTCAAAAACCGGGTTGATGGCATTATTTTCGACGAAACACGCCATGCTTCCACATGCACGCGCTCTCTTCAATACTCCCCGGCACCGCCGAAACTAATTCATCACGTTCCATTATCATCCCGCACATAAATCCTTCCGGAGGAGTCAGTCTCTCTTCTTTGTAGAGGAGAAAAAGACGAAGAAAAGGAAACACGCCCGTATGCATGCGTCTCCGCACGCACGCACGCACACGCACGCAAGTCGCCTTGTGGAGGCCGGGGCCACTGACTCACTGACTCATTCGGCATAAACGCGAAGCACGAAGAAGTTCTTCTTCGGCCGAGCCGCCTCGTCGGGAAGAAAAGTGGAGCATCGACCTCGAATTTTAGTCTTTTTATCTCCCGCCGACTGTCACCACTTCTTTTCTACCGGTGATCGGCGCTCTCGCGATTGTGCAATCGCGCGAATTGCCGCGACATGGAATCCTAAAAATTCTCCATCTCAGTCTTGATCGATAATAAATGCATCGAGAGAAAAATGTCAAAGTATTGCGAAGTAAAAATTACTTACGACGTTTTCTTCGATATCTATGAGTTATGAAAAAAATTTGTTTGATTGTGATGACGAAATATACATTTCGGAGAAATATATCTCACTGATTATAAGAAAATAAAACAGATGATTTATTTGCCAGGAATAAAATTTTATTTCGCCATATTTAATAAATAAAGATTTACTTCAGTGAAATAAATATCTTACTTCTCACAAGTAAATTTTTAAGTATCTCTTTTTCCCTGTGTGAGATTGCGAAATTTGAAAAAGACGCTATTCTGGTTAAAGTTTAGGTCGACTGCATATCGGATGATTTTAGCTTTAATACAAACTCGTGTTGGTTTAGATTTTAGCAATATTATCAATTAAAAAATTATCTAAATTTGACGAGTGTTAATTTAAATGGAATATTATTTAAGCAGTGTATCAGTTTTTACTTAGACAATATCCTAACTAACATTTCGATCGATGTTTACTCGCAAGGTATTGCATTCCTTGATTTCAATAAGAAAATATGTACATGTGAAAAAAATGTATGTAATTTTACATGGAAATTACATGTTCGTGACTGGAAAATTACCTAAATATGATGGGAAATTTACAATTTCCATTAAATTTCCAATCACATTTAAGTAATTTAGATAATTTTCCAGTCATAAACATGTAATTTCCATGTAAAATTGCATGCATTTTTTTCAGTGTGTATGAATACCACGATTTCTACTTAACATTGCCATAGTAATGGATAAGTATTAGAAATTTTGTAGAATATCATTGTTACTGAAAATTACGATCTAATATCGCTGAAGTTGGTTTCGACGAAGATACGAGCGAAAATCAGAGATTTCAACGAGACGACCCGGTACATCCGCGATGTGGAAATCGCTCGTGCGACCACCCAGCGCGACTATCACGAGCAAAAAGTTCGCGAGGCTTGCTACTCGCTTCGCCTCTTATTATAGGTGCACGTTTCTCGGACCATCGGCCGGGATACGTCGAACGCAATTGAAAATAGCACCAACGTGGATTTAATGTAACATCCTTTCGTCACAGTAAACGGATATAATTTAAACATGACGCGGACAGACAGAAATTGAAGATATTATTGCAAGAAAACGTGGACATTCAGCGATCTTGTAAAACGAACAGAAAAATCGTAAAAATCTACTATCTATAACTCCATCGCATTTTAGAAACGCGATGTTTCTGTCGAAACACGCGATAAACCTCCAGTGTTTTGCAACAATGAGAAATCAAAACGAGCACATCATACTCTCTAAATTGGCTGCGTTCAGCAGAGAAAGCAGCTTTGCAACTGTTGTAAAATTTTTGAATATGATTGGTTTATACATTTAGATCCAATGAGGAACTAAGGGCAAGACTCTCTGGAGTGGAATCTTACTTTAAAGAGTGAAAATTGTGCCAGTTTTGAAAGAGAGTGGCTCAATTTTCAATCTTTAAGAGTGGAGTTTCACTCTTTAAAACGACCATTCAATCTAAAAGTTTTAAAGAGTACATATTTCCGGCGAATTTAAAGATTAACTAAAAAAAGTTCTTACAAAAAATTATCAAACTTCCACACGTTACCAAACTTTCCCTCCTTTGGAAATCACTTAGATTTCTTCTTCTATAAAGGAATATGTACTAAAAGAATTAGGTTTATTTGCTTGAAATCTCCACAAATTTTTGTACTTAAAACGGAATAAATAAATATTCGAGCGTTAAAAAGAAAGAAAGCGAAGGTACTAAGTATAAAAAAATGCAAGCAACGCGAACAAACCTATTTACTCCACCATGATGTCAAACATGAATATTTTGGAAGTTTGTTAACATGTGAAAGTTCGGTAATTTTTATTTTCCATTATTTCAAAATACCAGAGATTCAGTGTATACCTATAAAAATAGGATAAAAAGATAAAGCAAAGTTTATAATGCAGGGTTTTTACAAATTCCTCGTTCTAAAATTCCATAATTTTCTTTGATTTCCCCGATTTCCAGTTTTGTGGCAACCCTGTAATGACAATTGTTATACAAAATTTAATTTTTCTGTCAGTTTGCTGGAACAATATTAACTCGTAAACGAGAGGTATCAGAGTTTACGAAAAACAAGATAACGGTCGCACGAGATCGTGCAGCAATTTTGATGGAAGCTCTCGGGTCCGATCGATGAAGGAAAGCGAATCGATATTAACGCGTGATCGTTCCGGATCGAAACAGGCATCCTCAAAAGGCATCCCGATACCGTACGCACATTTTCGTCCACGAGTAAGATCTCGGAGTCCGATCTCCTGGTTCCGTGTGCGACAGATCCCAAGAGATCTCACTAGTTACAGAAGAAATGCCAGGGATGACGCGTCTGGATCCCGCGGGCCCCGGCAGGAAGTCGATCCTTCGATCCGGTACTTTCAAAAAACACGTCTCGAGACCACCCGCGTATGTGAAAAGATCACAGCTCAGTTAATCGCATAGCTCCGGAGAGACTTGGCTTGTTCGCGGGTAAATTGTGCGTGAATGGGAACAATTCATAAATCAGTGACAATCGAAAGAAGATACTTTCAAACAGAATTGTATTATCATACAATGAAAAGACAGAAAGGTGATCCTAAATAAACAGCTTACTTTTTATAACGTTTTCTTTAACGTCTTTTTCATCAAAAGAAAAAACTGCCATTTCAAATTTCTCTCCCGAGGAGAAAATTATTGGAATTTTCAAAATTCCATTCAATCATTGCGTTACAGTTCATAGCTTAGTCCCTAGAAACTTGACGTGCAGTTGATAAGCACGTGTATAGGAATATTAATGCAAAGACATTTCGTAAATACACAATTCATGAATCTCTCAGAAAGGTCCTAAATGAATAGCTTAGCTTTTACAATTTTCTTCTTTAACATCTGCTTCGATTTAGAAAGGGAAAACTGCTAGTTAAAAAATTTTCTTTCGAGAGCAAACCTTCCGAATACAAAAATTTCGTTCAACCATTAATTAAGTATTTTCTTTCGTGTCGAATCATTTCTACTCAACTTTTCCGGTTAAGCCGCAACGGACCACCCAGTATGAATTTCCTCATGACATAATTAAACGATTTAAGGCACGACGAACGGAATGAAGAGACGGAGAGATTCGTTGCTCTTTCAAGGAGCATCATCGATAATACCGCTTTCGAGGCTGCTTCGCCGACGACGGCGATAAGAGTCGAGTAAGCGCTAACCGCCGTTAAAACGCATTTTCGATCGTCAAAGTGCGCCTCGTTAATCGCCGATCGAAGATAGCGCGACGCCCAGTAGGAAATAACGGCGCCGTTATCGCCAACGGTTAATATAATTTGCATTGAGTTAACGCGGTTATCTCCACATACCAAAGGGCCACGCCGTGTCGAACTATTATCTACGTCTACCTATTTGACGTAATAAGAATCGATAGCGATATTCGTACCTCATGGAGTATCGGAAAAATTATTTCACCGTCTTAATTAGCCGTCCCTGGTATCTTTGCTAAGGAACGTAAATACGTTCATTAACATAGCGTTTCACGCGTATAAATAATGTCGGAGATAAGCAGCGATCGACTTTCAAGCTGGATTTTTCTTACTGCCTCGTGAATATCTACGATTTCGAATTTTCTTATCAAATTACTCGCCCATTCGCTGCTAATTGGATAAGCTTAGTTCCGATATATTTCACAAACGTATTTCTTTTCCAATTTCGAATGACATCGTTGAATCAACTGACGTGATTTAAATGCCCACGCAAGAAATGTTTGATTCAACGAATGCTACTTTAAGTGCTATTTTAAGTATTTCTTCGTTCTTTTAATACAGACTGTCAGATGTTATCTCTATATAATTTAATGTATCGATCTTGAATAATAATTATTATGCAAATTGTTATCGAAATTGTTATTTTCAATTTTCAATGTACGTTTCTACAAACTCTTCTCAAACTCTTTTCAAAAAACGATTTATCGAATTAATTATTATGCTACGATAAATGGAGCACGTAAATCTTTCGAAAAGAAATGTTGTGAATATCAATTTAACACAAACTATTTAAATAATATAAACACATTACGTTAAATTAATACGCAAATATATAAAAATTCAACACAAAATTTTAACAATGTATGTCACTTAATAATTTTTGTATATTTGTTGAAATAATAAAAATTAATTCGAGACACGAATGACCCATCATGTGCAGTACTTACTAAACGACCGGAAAATCGTGTGCACCAAGGATTAACTTTAATCTCGGTTTAACCTGATTTACCTCTTTCTAGTTCTAAGAATTAGAAAAAGACAAAAAATGAGTTAAACCGAGATCAAAGTTAATCCGCATTGGTAGAAATAGAGAGGAGGAGTCGATGACACGGAAGAGGGCGATTGAACGGGGATAATAATACGAGTTCTCTTCTCTCACCTTCTCGAGCTGATCCAACGCTATCGCGGCGTCCGTCCAGCTGGGCCTGACGTAAAGATCAGATTCGTGCCGGATTCTGGTGCGTTCCGCTGCCTTGTGGTCCTTCTCGCTCTCCGCGTCACCATTCTGCCGCGAGCCCGGCGATCCAGAAAGGCGTCCCGCTAGGATCCCCGTGGATGTGGGTCCGGACACGGAAACCATGATCTGTCATGCATTCGCCCGCCACGCGCGATTACAACTTTCCGAACTCGCTCGTCTTTCTTTCTTTCACTTTCTGACTCTATCGATCGAGAAGAATCTTTTAGTTTCTCATCGATTTCTCGTTTCGAATCTCTCTCGTGGCGGTTCACTAAAAATCCGGACCACCCTCGTGGTAACAACTTGACGTTTCGATATCGGTCCTTTTTTTGGAGGAGGAGGGGAATCGGAGCGATCTTGTCTTCTAAACCGGTGCCCTTCCCGAAGCTCGAAATTCGTACGTACCGAACCGACGCGCGAAAACGCGTATTCTCGCACTCCACTGCCCGAAAAAATCGCAACACCTTTTCGGGAGCACTTCTTCACTGACACTGTCTGCGGTTTCCGCGTAACGATAACACGTGACCCCCCTCCCCCGTGCCACGCTCGAAATTCGCGCACGAGGACAGCGAGCGGTGGCGCGCATGCGCGCGCGTCCTGCCGATGTATCGCGCTGCGCCGGACCGAGATCGGTTTTTAGGTTACCCGCGGTACGTAAATACGTCTCTCTCTCTCTCTCTCTCTCTCTCTCTCTCTGGCGCTCTCTATCTCTTCTCGCTGTCTCTCGCTTACACGGAGCTCGAGGAACGCCCGGCGAGGGCGCGAGAGGCGACGGCGCGCGCGCACGTTAAAGGGAAAAATTGTATATCGTAAGACGCGATTGTTTATTTTTTTTTCCCCCTTACGTTGAATCGCACGTTTTAAGATCGACGATCACGTGTCACCGCGCCGCGACGAGTATGTACGCGTAAATCTCGGTTAAGGCCCTTCGCTCCGGGCCCGGCTTGCCGCGTTATCACACTGTCACCACTGAGTACCGTCGTCGTCGTCGTCGTCGGCGTCGTCGTCGTCGTCGTCGCGTTCGCAGACTATGACGGGCCCTCTGCGCGGGCCTCTGATGCGTCGTCCTGGTGGTGCGTGCTCCGGCGTGAAAGTGCGACGGCGGATACCGGCGTTCACACGACCGCCACTTAGAGCAGTCTAAGTCGGTACTAAGCGAAACGCGCTGCCACATTTCTTTCGTGGCCTGCCTGCCGCGCCGGCCATAGTTGACGGCTTCCCCCCCCTCCCGCTCAGCGCTCCGGCTCGAGTGCGCAAACATTCAGGCTCGTGCGTAGCCGCGGGCCCCGCGTACCGCGCGCTCGGGCCCCCCGTTTAAGGTACAACTTCCTGTTGACGCTCTACGCTCATTTTTACGGGCTTTATACAATAAGTCATTATCGAAGTTTTTAGTCTTAATCCTAATTTAAGAAATTGACCAGTCACTGTCGAACGTGAGAAGAATAATCGATCATGACTGATCAATTTTTTAAACTTAAAGCGTGAATGTTATTAACCACCAAGATCTGCTTTGATTGAAAATAATTCTTTCTTTTTGATTTATTCTTATCGTTCTCCACTAGTAATTGTTTATCTTCTATGACTCAAAAATTAAAATAATAGTTAATCTTTTTTATTTATAATAGTTTATTACGGATTTTCGTATTACACTCGCGTTGTTTTTTTTTTTATGAGTAGATGGTATAAATGTTGTTGATAGAACAATTGTAAATGAAATTATTAAAAAGCTACGAGCATTTAGAATTATATAATAATTCACTATCTATATTTTTTTCGATACGTCTAATTATCTAATATTATTATATAAAATTTAAATGACGATAAATGAAAAATAATAGGATATATCTGTCTTTATGAAAATATTGAAAAAATTGTGAAATGATTAATCGTAAGTAAGACTTAAAGCAAAAATTATACAAAAATATGGGTAAGTATATCGACTTTCGTATCGATTGATCGATAATCGAATTCGAATCAATAAATCAAAAAAATTCGTTATTGTACTCTATTAATTAACATATCATGATTACGTCCGATTGATCGATCGGCTGGATCTTACACGGACGGATCCGCCCTCGATCGATGCGCTACTGCGCGCAGAAGTGACGTCAAAGCCGAACGAAGCCGAGAAGGGCCGAAGCGCCAGAGACTTGGAGACGATTGGCGGAGGCGCCTTGGCGTTTCACGTTGCTAGGATACTCGGGGACTAGAGAGGGGAATCGACTCTAGACCACACACGCGTTCCCATTTTCCCTGGAGCAAAAACATTACCCACACCGAGACGCGCGACACACACGACGGTGCACACAGCTGCGCCACGGCGCGCAGTGGTGCCTAGGTAGATGAAACCTGAATTTTTTTCGAAAGTTTTATCTAGAAAATATCCAAACACACACACACACACACACACACACACACACTCTCTCTCTCGCGTAATTTCAATTCGCCGGCCAACAGAATGAGAGGCGTATCCTCAAGGCGATTATTGATTTATTCTTTATTAGAAAATCTTTTTGCACGTAATGGTAAATTTGAAAGCACCCTTTTAAATATCATAACACGCAGAAAATTGATCTATGAGCGTCTCAGAATTTGCAGATAGTGATCTAGAATTTGCAGATTGAGCTAGAAAATCGTTAAATTTTTCTCACATTTTACGCAGCCTCTAATTTTAACGCGACGAGATGACGGAGCTTCTTATTTATTTAGACGAATACAAGCGAGAAATGATTTTGCAGATAATTAAAAAATAACATTTTTGACAGAGTTTGGCGATCGTCCCGATCTATCTTCGGTTACAACGGTAACGACAAGCGTATATGCGAGGAGATTTCTATGCGGCTTGAACTAGAAATAAATACTCCGGGGATTAGCAAGTCGAAACGTCTCTCCTTCGCAACATTTTTTCGCTCCAGTCGACACTAACTAAAAGTGATATAACAGCAATGTTATAATTTTGTACTCAACAATCTAACCGTTACGTAATATCATATGTTACATTACTTTCTAAATTCTTTAGAATCTCATTTTAAAGAATGAAAATTGAGCCAAAAAGAGTGACATTTCACTCTTCAGAGTGGGATTCATTCTAAAAGTTTTAGAGAATATATTTATATTATTGAGTATAAAATTATAATATTGATGTTATGTTACTTTTAGTTTGTACCGATTGGGTGGTCTCTACGCGATAAAATGTTAGTGGAAGAACGAAAATTTATGTTTTATAATTCTTCGTAATTTTTTATCTATATACAAACCAGACAAAGATCTACCAAAATGAACAATACGTTCATTTTTTTTCAATGCAAACAAAATAGGTATACACTGACTTCTTTCAAAGAAGTATTCTTGCTTGTTATACAATAAAAAAAATATCTTATTGAGAGGCAAAAACTTAAGAGGCAAAAAACGACCAAACTACTCGATCAATGAACGATTTTTTGCCAATATATCTTATTAAAGCCAGTTTTCTGTAACAAACGTCAGAATGTTTGGCCCATAAAATCCCTTTTAGGCACCACTGTTGTCGATCTTTCTTCCCCTATCGTCTCACGCATTCCGCTATCCACGTTGCTCCTCACTCCGTTTATGCGCGTGCCGTGCATTTGTTTGTTTACCTGCATGCTCATTTGAAGAGAGAGAATCACCGAGGAGCCAATGCCATGGCACCACTGAGGACTCGAATTAATATTCACATAACCCACATTCACCGCTGAATATGATCGTCGGATTCTCAGTTCGAATGATGTCGTACGCGATCTTCATGTGAGATGAACGGAATTGCAAGCTGAAAGACCACTTTTAGCGATAAATATCGTATATACTGGTTTTCGTCGTCTTAAAAAAAACGCTACCGATCGGTAGAGTTTTACCGAAAAAAAAATGTGTGTTAAATTATTTGTCGATTTTAATTCGATTTTAATTCAACATTTCTGACAATTTTATTTCTTAATTTTTATATCTACAAATTGCAGATAAGTTAAATACTTCTGTGTTTGCCTTGAAAAAACAATTGCCTCTTTAATTTCATATTATTTACTTTGATAAAATTTGAATCAATTTATATATAGTTTAATACATTAATTGCAACGCATAGAAACAAATATAATTTGCGAGAAATGAAGATAAGATATAATTTATTCACAACTAAGAAGATATATACCTTTCCTGAACTGAATCTTGGTGCTTAATAATATTTTAATATTAATTTATATACATATCCAGTGTGTTGTAAACTGCTCACCCATTTAATTTTCAGTTTTGAATTTTAAATTGAAACTGGAATAGTAATATCACAAATTAAATTGACAATTTAATGCTATTGATGCTAATGAGCACATTAAAATATTGTAAAGAAATTATTATGAAAAATATCACCTCAGCCAGGGATTTATTACACCGACGCGCAGTTTACAGAACTGGATATATATATAAATCTACATTGAAATATCATTAAGCTCCTAGAGACCTTTTTAGTTATGTTATTCACATATCAGTCTAACGTCACTTATTATTGGTAATTTATTCATTTTTAATAATATATGATATAATAACGTCGCTGTACATCGTCGAGAATATATGTTATATCCAATAGTATTATGGCTTACTTTTTATTAAATAACTTTGTTAATTGCGTTTTCTTTTCGGCGTCTAACTTACATCATTAAGACAATTTAAGATTGTAGAATTGTGAAAAGTGAGATGAGATCACCTTTATAATAATTTTGCATATGGATGGACCGCATAATACGAATACAATCGACGTTTTTACTGGACATTATAATGTGACCGAATCTTCCGATAATTTATGTAATATTGTTTGTTGTTTTACATTGAAAATGACCCGATCGGTGTCGAAACGTTTGTATGTACGAATTTTAAATTATTAAATATTTTACATTATAATTAACTCGTAGCTCTTCTTTTATTTAGTAATATATGATATATAATATATATATAAAGGAAGCCTAATTCTCTAGATTCCGTATTTTTGAGGATTTTTTCTAATTTTTCTTATGGAGTTCTAAGTTACTCGAGACTATAATTGAAAAAAAACTTTTTTCTTCAGCACATCACAGATACATATCTGTATGTACGATATTTACTCCAATATATAAGTACGTGGGAGTAAAGGTCGGCTGTTTTCGACGCCGCTCATTAAACCGCGCGCCACGATTAACATATTAAACTGTCGCCATAATATCTGCATAACGATGTGACTTCATTAGGCGTCGCGCAACCGTTCTCCTGTGCTCGCCTGTGCATATCTGCGAATCGCAGGTCGGGCAAAGGGAAACTCAATGTGTGTTACAAAATAATATTTTAATATATAATAAATAATATTATAAAACTGTACGTATATACTTTTTTAAAAGGGTCACATACAAATAGGTATACACACACTCCGTGTAAAATTTACTGCGTTCAGAATAGCGATCATGTAACTTTTTCTCTAGAGCGGAAACGTGAAAAGTGAACATTTTTTTGTATGTGTGTATATGTACGACATACATAAAAATTTTCACTTTTCACATTTCCGCTCTAGCGACAAAGTTACATGATCGCCAC